GTAAAATCACTAACTTTGTGTGAGGCCAATTCATACGATACTAAGATGTAGAAATAGCCACCATCAATTTTAGGATCTGAAACGAGCGATCAGTTTTTTGGGAAAATCTTTTTGTTGTTTGGCCATATGTGATCCACATAAGTAGAGTTAGTAGCTGAAGCTTACCTAGCCTGTTAATGAGATGTGTGGAATTATGATGGTAGAGGCTATTTACTTCTGGTCCCAGAGGCTGGCCTACTTGACAGTGTGTGGGCTGCTGTTTTACTTCTAGCTTTTTGCCCGTTTTCAGTTCTTGAAATCCAGTTTTTGAGTAGTTTTATTCTCACAGTGGAGAACTTGCCAGTTCATTAATGGGTATGCCATAGGAGCTGCATATTGCTTACTGTTACAGACCTGACAAGATTTCAGGAACAAAAGTCTTTGACTCTGATATCTCATACATCATGCTTTGCAGTGGCAATGAATTTGGTTTGGTTTTTTTGTTTGGAGGCTGATGGCATGCCAAGTATGTGTGGAATGTGTAGATGAGGATGTAATTACTGGTTGCTAGACAAATCATTGGGCATCCACAAATGACTGTACCAAGTGGAGGTAGGAACTGATTCCTAAAGAAATTTACAATCAAGTGTTGTTTAAAACATATTATTAGACTTCTTAAACTCAAGAAGAAATTTAATTGTACTTGGCCTTCTTATCCCATGCCTTCCATGAGCCAAGAGAAGTAGCAGATGATTTCAGGAAGCACTGTGGCTTCTGACTTCTGGGATGGCATCATTTCATTTAATAATGCAACACAACGCACTGCCATTGAGTCAGATCCGACTCATAGCGACCCCTCCTTGGGTTTCCAAGGCTGTATCACTACAGAAGTGGATTGATTGCCTAACCTTCCTTCCAAGGAGTGGCTGGTGGGTTTGAACCAGTAGCCTTCTGGTTAGCAGTCAAATGCCTTAGACACTACACCACCAGAGCTCCTACATTTCATAATAGTCTCAATATTTTTAGTTTTTGAAAAGTTTTAGAATGAGGACTCTAAACCTGAAGCATAAATTTATAGATTAGTAACTTAAAAAAAAACAGTATTGTATATACTTGAGTATTGTGAATCCATATCCTCAGGTTGTTTTAACTTGATTCTTTATCTCATTAAAGAATGAATGAGCTAGATAAATTTCAAAATAAAATTTCTAAATAACTTAGAAATAAATATTGAATCTACCCTCAAGCCAGGTAAACTTTACTCTGTTTAAGTAAAGGCAAAGTCTCTAAGCAATTCTTATTTTTACTAATGAAAAACTCCATATGATTTAACAAATAGAATTAAAAACCAAGTGATTTCTTGTACTCAAAAGTGAAATGTAGACTAACCTTCAGATTTCCCACCATCACGTAGGGTAGGATTTGCCCGGAGGTAAGCACCAAAGAATTACAGACAGTTTGCTTTTGTTTAACTGTCCATTGTTATTTTTATAGTAAATAAAAGTGAGAGGGGAGGGGGGACACATGCATTTGTACATATATACATTGATGCCTATATATGGGCATTAAAAAGAAAAGCAAAAAAAAAAAATCTGATGAAATTCAGTGTTACATGAGGTATCTGGGTTTAGTAAAGAGCATTTGAACAGGAGTGAAGAGGATCTCAGGAAGCTTAAGCTGGACTAGCCTTATTTGCAAGTGAAGGATCTGGTGCTGCTTTCAGATGTTTATCCTTTGTGTTTTAAAATTTTTTTCTTAAGCTTTAATCTTCTACCTTGTCTTAAAGTCAGCTGGTGTTTCTTGTTCATAGACTTTGGTACTTTGGTACGATGGTGCTTTGCAAGGATGTATTTATATTATAATGGCCAACATTTGGTCAGCCCTTGTCCACTATTCACTACCCTCTTTTTGTAAAATAAGTGCTTTAATTGTAAACTGTATAAAAATACCTTGTATAAACCCCCTTTTGATTATTACAATAAGCTGAGTTGTAACAAATGAAATGTTGATTTTTATAATAAAAGTGGAAAAATAAAAGTGTCATTTCCTTTCAGCAGGAAATAAAAACAGGAGGTGGTTGTGCTTTGCTGTGATAGAAATAAGACTACGATTAGGACAAAATAAAATGCACCTGCTATTTGCATTTCAAGTGAAATACTACTGCCTTGTGGGGGAGAGGTTTGAAAAGTTGCTGAGTTCTCTGTTGACAGTGATGGGGAAGGAAAACAGTTTGTGCTTTAGGACAGCTCTTGTTTTCTGTAAACTCCTGGACGGAGTCCTGATATGTACTCAGACACCCCCGCACACGGACACACTCCTCAGCCCTCCAAATTAGCTTCCAAAATGAACATTTCTTTTTCCAGTGCAGAGCCCAATATAATGTGATGATACTTTTCTCCATTATGTTAGATATGGTTAAAAACCAGTGGGAACTCAAAATTACCGGATCCCTGCTTGAGTCTTAGGTTCAGTACATAGGGAAGCTTGTGGTTTTATTTGCCAGTGTTGAGCTCAAACATCAGCAGGTTAGATAGAAACCAAGTTTTATTATACAGGTCTTAGGTACTCTAGAATAAGTAAGGCAAACTTAATCATGGCTTCTTTGGTGACATACCTCATTATTTTTCCTTTGGAGAAAATCACGTAAGTTGTGCCGTTCCCATTTTGAGTCAAAGAAAGGAAGGGCAGAAGCTTTCTGAGTGAGCAGAGAACTGTGATTGGTTTGCCTCATTTAGGACTGAGCTCGTGGATCAGAAAGACTCTGTGATTAGTTTTGAGTCCTCCTCTGCCTGTAGGTAGGTTTTCAACTAAATTTACAATTCTTTTCATTTTAATCCTTTGCCTGGTATATAGTTGTATTGTTTCTGTAAGTTTAATTCAAATGACAAATTACTCAGATCTCTGCTTCTATCCACTCCTTGGAAGGAAGGCTGGGCAATCTACTTCCATAGTGATTACCGCCTCGGAAACCCAAGGAGGGGTCGCTATGAGTCGAGTCCGACTTGATGGCACATGACAACAACTGCTTCTATCCATTAACAGCATTGGGCAATCTGCACAAATTTTTTGTTTTCTTTTGGCCACTAGAAAATTTTCCACCTAAACTTGCATTTGCAAACACTCAGATGGATTACCATATAAAATCCTACGTCCTCCCCAATGAAGGCTAATGTTCCTAACATTTGCCCACCCTACCTTTGCTCTACACCCAGCACTGTGATTTAAAAAAAAAGCAATTGGTTTTGCAAGACTGTAAATCTTTTATGGAAGTAGATTGCCTCATCTCCCTCCCGCAGAGTAGCTGGTGGATCTGAACCACCCACCTTCTGGTTAGCAATCAAATGGCCTACCCACTCTGCCACCAGAGCTCCACAGCACAGTGACAGGTGTCACATTTTTTTTCCCTCAAAATAATGACTAATGACCAAGCCTGACAAATTACCTATGTGAGTGCTGAGAAGGCATTGTAGTTTGGGAATCCACATTTCTGGGCCCATAGAGTCAGGATGACCCTGGCCATTTGCCCATAGGTGTACTTTTGGACCTTGAGCCTCTTGGGTGCTTATTTTCCTGTAAGTTCTGGTCAGAGAGTGGCCCAGTTAGCAGTTTAGAGGAGAGCAGCACATAGTAGGGAATATAAGTGAACACTTAGAAATTGCTGAAGAGCAAGCACTGTTCTAAGCACTTTATGTAAATAAACTCATTTGATCCAAACAGAAACCCTGCAAATAGATGGGGACTATTACTTATTTTAACCATAGGACACTCTTGGCAGCGGTCTTTATATTTATTTTACCAGCTACCAATCGTTACCACAAAGAATAACAAAGCCACAGAGATCTTGAGTAGTAGAAGAGTGGTCACTGAGAAGAGAGGGGAGAGTAGTGGGGTTGTGGTGGTTATGTTTGTGTGTCAGCTTGGCTGGGCCTGGTTGAGTGGCTGAGCAGCTGGATGTAGTATTACCCATGATGAGACTGGTAATCAACTCCATGTAAGGAGAAGCCTTGGGGAACAATCTCCAGCTTATGCATGCTTGAACCCTGCATGTAGCCCTGTCGTTTGTCAGCAGCCTGCCATGCTTTGCCTACCTTGCTTGAGACTTTGAATGGACTTGAACTAATGGCCTGCTGTGTGGTTTGGAAACATTGGGACTGTGCCTTTTTACTTGTCAACTTCGGGCTTGTCAGCCTCAGCAGCCAGCATCTGAGTGAAGAAAAGGCTCCCAAGGTCGAGGGCCTTTCACCCAGCCCCTAGAGACTGCCAGTTTGAACTTGGACTTAAAGCCTCTAAACTGTAAGAGAATAAACTCCTGTTTCTTAAAGCCATCCCACTTGTGGTATATTCTTGTCAGCGATACAAGGTAACCAGAACAGAGAGGAATAGGTTTCTGCCAGATGAAAGTGTTTGAAACTGCCAAAGGAATTTTCAGAGAGTCAAAATGACAGAATCATCACCAGCTCCTCCAACGAAAGGATGGAGCAGTAAACGGAAGTCTTGCAGCAACATCTACTTAAGTTCATTCAGCTCATGAATATTAACACTGTCCTAAAGGTAGGCTCGTGTAACAGTGCTTACATGAGATCATCCCAAATGTAGTTTGAAAAATGAATGGTACTAGGAACCAGAGTAAGCAGATGCAGACTTTATCATTTCACCCTCATAAAGTCAGCAAACATCTGTAACACACTTTAAAGAAGCCAATGGAGGTAGGATAAATGGTACTGTTTTCAACAGTTAGCAACGAGAACTACCCCTTGTCTTTGTAGCTATCCTCACGCATTGAATGGAGGGCCTGAAAAACATCAATGTCAAGGCCATGCTACTGCATTCTCTGAGCTGGAGACGAACAAGGCCACTCCTGGTGCCTCTTGATTCATGGGAACTCATTTTAATGATTTTGAAAACTTCAGTGCTCTATTGGCCTTGTACATTTTGATTTCTCCCACAGTCTATACTGAGACTGATGTACATGGGGCCACAGTTGGATAATGAGTATTCCAGATGACGAATCTTCTGATGTTTCAGTCTATTTCTTCATGTGATATCCCAAGTACTTTTTCCTACAGGGGGAAAAGAGAAATAGATTCTTAAAATTCCAAGTTTGATTCACTAGTCAAGTGAAAACATATGCCTGCTAATACTGCTCTTTTATTCCAGAAACAACTCAAGGCTTGGAGACTTGTGTTAGAGTTGGGGGAGGGCTTAGAAAGGTGGCTGGCATCATTGGTATGCCTGCAAGGAAAATATTAGCTAAGAACTTTACACATCCAGGGCTAACAGGCTGCATCTTTTCTTGAAGAATGGGAAAAGGCTTTGATGCTTTATTTAAAATTCATAAAAATCAGTCCTGAAAGGTTGATGGCTACGGAGATTGCAAACATCTTTCCTTTCACAGTGCTGTAGAACCCGTGAGGTCGCAGGATGGCAGAGTAACTATGTGAACAGTACTCCAGGGTGAAGAAAGGGGTGAAGAAATAAAATTCCATTTGGGGGAGAAAAAAAAAATCTCATGGTTAGTAGATGGAGTAATGTTCATCCGTTTGATTTATTCCTTATTCTACATGAAGTAGCTGAACATCTAGGATGTATATAAAAGTAACAGGAGCTATGGGAGGTTAAAAAAGGCATATAATACATGATCTGCCCTCACAAATTTGCTGTTTAGTTGGGAAGATTAGATGCATGTATATGGAACATGGAGAGCATTAGGAAACCTGAGTTTCTGGAAAGCTTGTGCATGGTAGTTTCCCCTCCTTCTACACCATTTCAAGGACACTCCAGAGGGCCATTATCAAGGTGCCTTGGCCCAATGAAGGTCCTGGGGGCTTACCCTCGTCCCCCTCTGCCCCAGTCTTCTTTCTTCACTATTCAAGGAGACTGAACAAGAGTCCCAATCCACATTTCCTTCAGATTTTCATAGCTCATAACTACCATGAATATTCTTTTATCAACTGCTTTTATTTTTTTCAACCTTTTCTTTGTCACTTTGGAAAAATGAGCCTGTGATGGTTATGTTTGTGTGTCAACTTGGCTGGACCTGGTTGAGTGAGTGGGGAGCTGATGGTAGTTATTCCCCCTGATGAGACTGGTAATCAACTCCATGGTAGAATCTACTATGAGCAGCTGAGGAGCTGCCTTAGGGAATGTGGTCTGTTTCCTGTATATAAGCAGCAGCCTTGGGGAATGGTCTCTAGCCTAGGACACGCTTGGACCCTGCATGTAGCCATGTCTTTGTTGAGCAGCCTGCTATGCTCTGCCAACCTTGGGACTTACAATGGACTTAAGTTAATGGCCTGCCATGTGGTTTGGTAACATCGGGACTGTACTTTTTCACTTGTCAACGTTGGGGCTTCTCAGCCTCAGCAGCCAGCTGCTGTCTGAGAGAAGAAACGCCTCTAGCTCCAGTGGGCCTGGGAGCAGGAGGCAGAGCTGGACCCCAAGGTTGAGGAGCTTTTACCCAGCCCCTAGAGCCTGGCACTTTGAACTTGGACTTAAAGCCTCCAAATTGTAAGAATAAACTCCTGTTTGTTAAGGCCATACCATTTGTGGTGTATTTTTGTCAGAGGGGCACTGGGTAACCAGAACAGAGCCCTTTCTCTTTGATTCTTTTTCCTCCCTCTCCTGATTTCTAGTCACATGCTCCAAACTAAACCTAACTATGTCCAAGCATTAAGATTAGGTTTTATGACGTGGAAAAGTAAAGTAATAAATTTTGAATTGGAAAGATAACTAACCCCAAACCCACTGCCATTGAATCAGATCCAATTCATAATGACCCCTCCTTGGGTTTCTGGGGAGGTATCACTACAGAAGTAGATTGATTGCCCGACCTTCCTTCCGAGAAGTGGCTGGTGGGTTTGAACCGCCAGCCTTCTGGTTAGCAGTCAGATGCCTTAGGGACTATGCCACCAGAGCTCCTAGATAAAGAACTAGTGCCATCAAAGTCAAAAGCCTTGAAAAAAAATCCCTTTTATTATTTTTATTGAAAAAGCCTATTTTCTCTAATTGGTACTGCTGTTCTCTCTGGCAGCCAAATAAAAATTAAATAAATGAAAACATTTATATTTGTTCCTTTTTATTTGATTACAAGAATTAGAGTCACTATTTTTATAGCAAATTTATTGAAATGTAATTAACATTCCATAAAACAAACCTGTTTAAGGTATACAGTTCTGTGTGTGATTCACAGAGTTGCATATGTGTCATCTCCACCTGAAGGAAGGATGGATAGAACTGAAATGTTGAAGGCGCTAAGGAAGCTTGAATTTAGGATGCTTAAGAGCATTCAGGGAACTCTGGTAGCGTAGTGCCTAAGGCACTTGACTGCTAACCAGAAGGCTGGAGGGTCAAACCCACCAGCCACTCCTCGGAAGGAAGGTTGGGCAATCTACTTCCGTAGTGATACTGCCTCGGAAACCCAAGGAGGGGTCGCTATGAATGGGGTCCGACTTGACGGTACATAACAACAAGAAGAGCATTCAGGATAGTTAAGAACATACTTAAGGAGTTCTGGTTGTGCAGTGCCTAGGGCATTTGACTGCTAACCAGATGTTTGGTAGTTTAAACCCACCAGCATCTCCCCAGAAGGAAGATGAGGCAATCTGCTTCCATAAAGATTTACTGCCTCGGAAACCCATTGGGGGGTCACTATGAGTCAGAATGGACTCGATGGCAGTGACTTTGGGGTTTTTTGGTTTTAAGAGCACTCATCAGACATTTCATTGTTATGATATCAGACATAAAAGTGGAAAATAGAGAACGCTAGGTAGGCTCAATGGGCAATGACTGAAGACCACTGCAGGCCTCATAGCCCCTTAGGGAAGATCAGCTACACTTTGCTTCTGGCAGCCAAGGGATCAAGCCTATTTTGAAGGCCTCAGGGGCACTCTGGCCAAACATCTTGCTGACCCCTGGACTAATCCAGTGGAAAGAGACTAAGGATCATGTGGGATGAAGACCTGTCTGAGGAACAGCTTGAATGGACAATGCCCTGGGCCTACCTGAGGTTGAAAGCTCTGGGATAGAACATTTTGACAAGGGAGACCTTATGCAGCCACTTGAACATGGCAGTTTTAAGGAGATCTCAGGAACAGGAAGAAAGATAGGGTAGAGGTTGAAGCTGAGGTGTGTCAGGGAGGTGAAGATGCCTTTTTTGCCTGATCCCAAACTAAACCTAACCCACTGCCATTGAGTCCATTCTGACTCATAGCAACAACCCCCATTGGGTTTCTGAGGCAGTAAATCTTTACGGAAGTAGATTGCCCAGTCTTTCTTCCACGGAGTGGCTGGTGAGGAAAATTTAACTGCTTGCTTTTTAGTTTGAATCAAATTGTCCTGGTCAAATGACTGGGTCAAAGCAGCAATGACAAAATGCCATGGATGCTAAATTTCTGCATGAGAATTACTCTACACACCCTGTCAGCAGCTAAGAGTATGAGGAAGGAACTGTCTGCCTCCCCTTGTCTCATCGCCAGACTTCTGTAGCCTGCAAAATCTGTGCAAACAGAAATTATATCTATCTAAACATTTTATATCTCAGCATCTCCTCATTTCCTGTTACATCTGACCAACCCCTCTCCTCCACACACATATCCCATGTACGCTTTGGGAGCTCAGTAAATATTTATTGATGATAAAGATAATCACTAAAAATATGTTCCCATCAGTGGGATATATCTCTTGCCACTCAAGTGTCCTAATCCCATGAGAACTGTTACACAGATGTGTTTCCTTAAAAAAAAAAATCTTCCCATCCCATCTCCCTCTGAGTTCTGGGAAGATTAGGATACACTTACCCATCCACCATGCTGCTGGACCCAGGGTGAGAAGTTCTCTTTCAGGTACTTCGTTCCAAAGCCCAGTACCCTGTTCATGGGGTGGTTGTCGACAGCAGTGAGCTTGGCGGCAACGTCTATTGCAAGGGCAGCCTTAAAGCCCTGAGCTTTGATTTCTGATTCTCCTCTGGTGTCCACACCCCTGAGAAACTGGTCTATGATGGTCCTGAAGACAGAGTAGGTCAGCCCTTCCTGGAAAATGTTCACCAAAGCCTTCTCTTTCTTCAACTGTGTACAAGAGGATAAACAGTCAGCAGAGCAGCTGGATCCAGTGACATACATGGAAAGCCATTCTTTTGCTCAACAGTGGGCTACTAGAATACCCAGTGGAAATCCCTGGATTCTAGTCTCAACCATGGCACCAACGTTGCATAATTAGACCAGGCATATCTGCTGTTGGGAGAATGGTCTGGCTCTGTGTCCCCCATCTGGGCCACCTAAGCAGAGTCTTGGGCCTAGAACATTCTCTGATAAGGAGGCTGAGAACTAGGTCTCTATTTCTTTCTTTCTTTCTTGTCTTTCTTTGACAGTTTACAGAGCAAATTCACTTTCCATATAGCAGTTCACACACACATTGTCTCATGACATTAACTACAATGTACCCCAATGCAACAGCTCCCCTCCCACTTCCTCCTGATAGTTACCTCTTCCCTGTGTCCATCCCTCCATGCACTCCTGCCCCCTGAACTGTCTCCCTGTGCACAAACAGCCCTTCTATTCTCTCATGATTGATCTCTCCAAGGAGTGTATCTACCTGAGGTAAATGTTCAACTCATATGCCTGTCTTTTGTTTGGCTGGAAGCCACAGGTGTGGGTTCAATTCCAGACCTGAAGGGCACTAGGGACCATAGTCTCAGTGGTTCCATCAGGCTCTATCAGACCAGCAAACCTGGTCCCTCCCCCCCCTTTTTTCCCCAAATGATTTTGAGTTTTGTTCCACATTGTTCTCCCTCTCTATCCAGGATCTCCTACACAGATCCTGTGGTAGTCAGGCACCATCTAGTTCTTCTGGTCTCATAGCCAATAGGCTGAGGATCGCATGGTATACCAGTCACGAAGACTAATTGTTTCCATGAATCTTTGGATTTCTTCATTCTTCTTTCCTCTGGAAGAGGAGAGACCCATCATTGCATCTAGACGGCTGTTTGCAAGCTTTTAAGATCCCAGTCACTACTCACCAAAGTAGGAGGTAGAACAATATTTTGTGTAGTATGTTATGCCAATTGAGCTTGATGTCCCCTGCGACTATGGTCCCAAGCCCACAAGTATGTCTCTATTTCTCGTTCCCAGTTACTTCTGCTTATCAGAGAAGGCTTCCACCCTGTTCTATGTTCGCAGTAACTTTCTCTACCTCTTGTTCATGCACAAGTACCAGATAGCACCTGGCCAAGGCCACTTCTGTATCTGTTCCCAGTAGAAACAGAATAGGGTCTCTTACCTGTGGCACAAGGGGGATGTGCCCAGGACAGTTGTCCAGCACTGGCCATGAGGAATCAACTCACTGGCGAGGGGAGAACAGTGCTCACAGCTGACGTTGACCTTACTCTATCTCTTCTCTATGTGAGGAAAGTGTTGTTCCACTTCCTGTGTGATCTGTGTGTTGTGTTGGTGACCTGAACCTTGATAAGACACTTGCTCTGTGAATTCATTTCATGAGGACATAAGTGACAAAGTTGAACAACTTTTCAACATTCAACTAATATTTCATGAGCATTTACAATGGGCAGATACTGTGTTAGACAGAGGGGATATAAAGATAATTGAGACTCGAGCCCTGACTGAGGGAGTTTAGTGTCAATTGCAATATAGTGCTAAATGCTTTGCTAGAGGTGGGATAATAGACAGAAGCAGGAGCCTAGAAGTCAGACCATCTTGTCTAAAACCCCTGTCCCACCTCTTATTAGCTGTGCGATTTTGGGCAATTACTTAACCTCTTGGACTCAGTTTTGTCATCTGTAAGCTGGGATGATGATAGAACCAATAACCAAGGCAAACCTGTTGCTGACAAGTTGATTCCTACTCATAGCGACCCTACAGGACAGAGTAGAACTGTCCCACAAGGTTTCTGAGGGTGTAATCTTTACACAAGCAGACTACTACATCTTTCTTCTGTGGAGCAGCTGGGGGATTCAAACTACTGAGCTTCCATTAACAGTTGAGCATTTAACCACTGTTCCACCAGGGCTCCTTTACAGGACCTACACTATAGAGTAATTGAGTAAAACACTTAGCATAGAGCCAGGCATGAAGGAGGTACTCTCTATATGTTAGTAATTTTTCAGGATGATGTGAGAGCACAAGTGGGTCAGGGAAAGACTCTAAGAAGTGCATATGCTCACTTTTTAGAACACTCAATCCTTTGATTCCTTCTCCATTATTCTACTCAATCATCTTACCTCCCACCCCTCTCTTGAACCTGGTATCTGTCTGCTTTACTCATTTGACTACCACAATTTTTTAAAAATCAACTCTGTCTGTTTCTTTTGAAAAATCCATGGTTTATGTAATTAAGGAGTCCCTGGGTGGTAAAAATTGTTAAGCATTCAGCTGCTAATTGAAAAGCTTGAAGGTTGAAATTCACCCACAGTACCGTAGAAGAAGGGAGCTCTGGTGGCGTAGTGCACTTGACTGCTAACCAGATGGTTGGTGGTCCAAACCCACCAGCCACTCCTCGGAAGGAAGGTTGGGCAATCTACTTCCGTATACTGCCTTGGAAACCCAAGGAGGGGTCGCCTATGAGTTGGAGACGACTTGATGGCACATAACAACAACAACAACCACCTTGGAATAAAGGTCTAGTGATCTACTTTAAAAAAATCAGTCCCTGAAAACCCTATAGAAAATGGAAAAGCCAACCCTCAAATTTATGTGGAATGGCAAGAAGCCTCAAATAGCCAAAGCAATCTGAAAGAGAAGAACAAAGTGGGAGGACTCAGGCTTCCTGATTTTAAAAAATATTATTCAGCTACAGAAATCAAAACGGCCTGGTACTAGCACAACAATAGACACTTAGCCCAATGGAATAGAATTTAGAATCCAGAAATAAACCCATATGGCTATGGTCAGTTGATTTTTGACAAGGGTGCTAAGTTCATTTGATGGAGAAAGAAGAGTCTCTTCAATAAATAGTGTTGGGAAAACTGGATTTCCCATGCAGAAAAATGAAACAGGATCCATGCCTCACACCACATGCAAAAAACAAATTCAAAATGGACTGAGGACCTAAATGTGCAAACTACAACCACAAAATTCTTACAAGAAAATGAAGGGCCACTGCTGCTGGCTTTAGCCTTTAACAGTGGATTATCTAATAACAAAAGTACAATATGCAGAAGACAAAATAAATAAATAAGACCTAATAAAAGTTTTGAGCTCTGGTGGCGTAGTGCCTAAGGCATTTGCCTACTAACCAGAAGGCTGGCAGTTCAAACCCACCAGCCACTCCTTGGAAGGAAGGTTGAGCAACTACTTCCATTAGAGATACCTCCTCAGAAACCCAAGGAGGGGTCACTATGAGTCAGAACCAACTCAGTGGCAGTGAGTTTGGTTTGTTTTTTTGGAGTAGAAGAAACAAGAAGTCTGGTTACAATAATGATGGAGCTTGAAAACATTATATTGAGTGAAATAAGTCAATCACAAAAAGATAAATATTGTATAATCTCATGCATATGAAAAGAAAAGGCAAATGTATAGAGACCAAAGTTTGTTAGTGGCTGCCAGGGGTGAGAGGGAGCAGGGAAAGGGGGTGGTAATGGTGCTGGCACAACTGGGTATCCATTTGCAGAAAAATGAAACAAGATCCCGTACCTCACACCTTATACAAAAACTAACTCCAGATGGATCAAAGACTCAAATGTGAAACCTAAAACTATAAAGTTCCCTAACAAAAAACTAGGGGCAAATTTAGGGGCCCTAATATATGGCATAAAAGACTATCAAGCATCACCCAAACTGCACAAACAACAGAAGAGAAACAATGAATGTGACCTTCTGAAAATTAAATTTTTATGTGGTTCCAAAGACTTCTTCAAATGAGTCAAAAGAAAACCTACAGATTGGGAAAAAAATATTCGGCAATGACCTATCTGAGAAAGGACTTATCTCTGGGATTGATAGAACACTCCTAAACCTCAACAACAAAAAGACAAATGATCCAATTTAAAAATGGGCAGAAGACATGAATAGACACTTCACCAAAGAGGATATTCAGCCAGCCAACAAACATATGAAGAAATGCTCACGATCATTAGCTATTAGAGAGATGCAAATCAAAACAACAATGAGATACCATCTTGCCCCAGTACTAGTAGCAAAGTTCAACAAGACAGAAAATAACAAATGCTGGTGAGGATGCAGAGAGATTGGGACTTTCATACACTGCTGGTGGGACTGTAAAATGGTACAATCATTGTGGAAAGCAGTATGGCGATTCCTTAAAAAGTTGGAATTAGAAATACCGTTTGACCTAGCCATTTCATTACTAGGTATATATCCTAAAGAAGTGAGAGCCAGGAAAAGAACAGATATATGCACACCCATGTTCATCACAGCAATATTTACAATAGCCAAAAGATGGAAACAACCTAGGTGCCCATCAACAGAAGAATGGATAACCAAACTATGGTACATACACACAATGGAATACTATGCAACCTTAAAGAACAACGTAGGATCTGCAAAACACCGCATAAAGTGGATGAACTTGGAGGACATTATGCTGAGTGAAATAAGTCAGTTGCAGAAGGACAAATATTGTATTAGTCCATTATTGTAAAAAGTCAAAGAAGATTTATATATGGAAGGAAATTTTCTTTGTTGGTTACCAGAGGTAGGAGGGGAGGGGAGGGAACGCTGTTAGAAAGGTAGAGACAAGTATTGACTTGGGTGAACAGAAGGGCAATGTACCAAATGTGAGTGATCAACATGGTGGCATTGAGGAAGAGGAAGACATAGAGATTGCATGGGAGGTACAGACAACAAAGATGAACACTTTTGTACATACAGTACTGCATTGTTAGTTAGGCAAACATGGGTATATGGATGGATAGATGGGTGGACAGGCTGAACGATTAGGTATGTCTATGCAGGGAGGAGTGTGCCCATGACCATGTACAGGGTTGGCAGACAATGTTTCTACTTTTGTATTTGTATGTTCTGTAAGAATTCCCAGGTATATAGTAGCACTGACAAAGGATGAAGTTGTAGTCACTTCTTGGCCACAGCCAGCTACCCCTACGAGTAGTTGGACCTGTGGGCTCGGGACCATAGTCACAGGGGGCATAATCAAGCTCAATTGGCATAACATATTACACAAAAACATTGTTCCATAACCTACTCTGGTGAGTAGCGACTGGGATCTTAAAAGCTTTCAAGAGGCCATCTAGATGCAATGATGGGTCTCTCCTCATCCAGAGCAAAGAAGAATGAAGAAAACTAAAGACACGTGGAAACAATTAGTCCAAGCGATTTGCACACCATGAGATTCTCAGCCTATACGACTATGAGACCAGAAGAACTAGATGGTGCCCGGTTACCACTGTCAACCACTCGGAGGGGGATCTATGTAGGACATCCTGGACAGAGTAGGAGAACAATGTGGAATAAAACTCAAAATCATTTAAAAAAAAGGAAGAAAGAAAAGGGACCAGTTTTGCTGGTCTGATAGAGCCTGATGGAACCACTGAGACTATGGGCCCCAGCTGGCATTCAGGTCTGGAATTGAACCCACTCCTGTGGCTTCCAGCCAAACAAAAGACAGGCATATGAGCTGAACATTTACATTAGGTAGGTATATGCCTTGGAGAGATAAATCATGGGACAACAGACAGGCTGTGTATGTACAGGGAGACAGCTCAGGGGGCAGGAATGCATTGGAGGGAAGGACACAGGGAAGAGGTAACTATGGGGAAGAGGTGGGGGGTAGCTGTTGCATTGTGGGAGACTGCAGTCAATATCTTGAGACAAAGTGTATGCAAGCTGCTGCATGGAAAGTGAATTTGCTCTGTAAACTTTCACCCAAATCACAATAAAAATTTCTTTTTAAAAATATTAAATAAATAATAATTTTAAAAATTGGTTAATAACACAATTTTAAATTAAAAAAAGAAGAGGGGAATGGTGTTAACAGTGATGGAAAAATTGCATTGATTATGGATAGGGTTGCACAGCTGATTATTATGAGTCTGTCAGTAATTTGTAAACCTGTAAAAAACTGAATTGGTAAAATGTGTGTGATAGACAGTTATATAGTACCTTGGGTCTCAAAAGCTTGCAAGTGGCCACGCAAGATATGACAAAACTTGTGTAATGGATAGAGGTAACTATGGGGAGGAAGTGGGAAGAGAGCTGTTACATTGTGGGGAATTGCAGTCAATGTCGTGCAACAAAATGTATATGATCTGCTGTATGGAAAATGAATTTGTTCTGTAAATTTCACCCAAATCACAATAAAAATTATAAATAAATAAATAAATTGGGGGGTGGGGGAGACTTCATGGGATTTGCTTCCTTGGTTTGGAGGTTTCGGGTCATGGTTTCATGAGACATCCCAGTTAATTGGCCTAATAAAGTGTTTAGTGCTTCTATTCTACCTCCTAGTTACATAGTGCCCTGGGTCTTAAAAGCTTGCAAGGGCCATCCAAGGCATGACAATTGATCTCTATTCATCTGCAGTAACAGAGGAAGAAGGAGTCAGGAAGAGGAGGAAGATATGGAATGTGTGGCTAATTGCCTGCCTCCATGAGACCATGAGACCAGAACTGGATGGTGTCCAGCTACCATCACTGAATATTTTGATCAAAGATTCTATAGAAGAGCTCTCATCGAAATGGGAAAATGCAGAAGAGAACTGCAAATTCTCATGGACTTAGACATTCTGAAGCCATGGGGTCTGGATGAACCACTGAAACTATTGACCTGAAATAATCTTTAAAACTTAAACCAACAGTATCCCCTGAAGTCTTCTTAAAACCAAACAGTACTTTAGCTTAACCAGTAAAGAATGCCTGCCTTGAGTACTGTGCTCTTAAAGAACTATGTGTATGGGATCAAAGTGACAACAGCAACTGGCATGATTAGATAGGAACCTGACGGGACAGGGAGTTTATGTTAATGGCGGAGGAACAACTCAGTACGAAGGGTGAGAATCTTGTACAACTCAAAGAATGTAATCAATATCACTGAGTTGTACATGTAGAAATGGTTGGATTGGTGTATGTTTTGCTGTATATAATCTCAACAACAACCACGAAACCTATAGAGCACAGCTCTACTCCAGTACACACGGGGTTGCCACGACTTGAAATTGACTTCATAGCAACTGGTTTGGCTTTTTGTTTTTTATGTCCTTAAAGGTATATATCAGCCTCATTTAAAATCATCCTTGCAACATCTATTAACTTAATGGTTGCAATGAGAAAAGAGGAAATTTTTAATGAGCAAGGCCTAAATGTTTATTTCAAAATCCTTTAGTTCTGTTCTTGAGGGATAATAAGCTAAGCAGGTTTCCAATAAACACTGTCTCTAAATGGGATAGTTTGAGGATGACTCGGAGACTATGAGATTTTGGTGGCTGCTCAGTGTCCTTTATCTGAGCCAGGCTTACCTCCCAACTTCCATAAGATACAAGGGTCCGATCGGAATAATAAATCTGAAACAGGAATGACTAGCAGCCTCCACACCAGGAATGGACTCCTCTTACTCATTTTCAGAGACCCACTTGAAAGAGCTAGGCTCAAAACCAGAGCAGGCAGCTGGATGCCTGAACCAGAAAGAAACACCTTCCAGTGAGCTTGTTTTCCCCTTTCCTTTTTCTCTCATTGCGCCTGGCTCTTGGGAATCCCCAGGGATGTAGGACTAGGCTATGAGCCTTCAAGGGCTCTTGGGGTTGAGTGGCTTTGAGGGTACACTGCAGCCAGGGAATAAGTTCCCTCTCCTCATTGTTACTCTCCTACCCTGTGGTGAAGACTCACACCCCACATATCACAGGTCAGACCTATGGTGTGTTCCTACCAGAGCCGTTCCACATTTTCTACATAAGTAATATAAAACATCTCTTAAGAGGGTATCTAGTAAGGTGAGGTTTTGTAAAGTGGTGACTTGTGGAGAGGAATGGGAAATATCTCTTGAACCCTGGAAGACATCTAATAGATCCCTCCCAGTTCAGATACTCAACGGCTGACTGTTTTACCGGCATTTGTTTGAAATTCTTCTAGTGGCAAGGAGACTATTCCTTCACAAGGCAGCCCTTGGCACTGAAGGGCATCCCTGACTGCTGTAACGTTCATTTTTTGCATTGAGGAGAAATCAATTGCTTCATAACTACTGACTGATGTTCGTTTAGGAGAAACACAGAGTTATCCTGAAAACATGTATCATGTTCTATTTCCTGCTTTCTCTGCATCCCTCTCCACCCTCCACTTGTGGCCTCAAAGGTCTTACACTCTCTTTTCTTTTTTTAAATTGAATGTTCCTGGTGTTCTTATTCTGTACCATCAGCCATGCCCATCACCCTCCTGGTCACTACCCTCAGGTACATGACTGACAGAGCTATAGAGAGAGGGGCCACTGAGGATACTGTGACTGTGGTAGAGTGACTGGCTAGTTAGTGCTGTTTCCCTCATGCAGAAGTCCCATAGGGCTTGACTCCCCATGGATCCAGGAAAACACAAGGAAATGAGTCCACAGACCAGCACCCAGTTGACAGATTCCAGAAACTACTCAGGGTTGAACCATTGGTGGTTCAGTGGAACAATTTTCTCTTCCATGTAGGAGAACTAGGGTTGGTTCCCAGTCAATAGTCCTCATGCACACCCACCACTTGTCTGTTTGTGGAGATTTGCGTGTTGCCATTATACTGAACACATCTCAGCAGAGCTTCCAAATTAAAATGGATTAGGAAGAAAGGCCTGGTAAATGACTTGTGAAAAATGAGTCAGTGAAAAACTTTATAAACCACAATGGTTTGATCTACAACTGATCATGGGAATGGTACAGGACCAAGCAGTGTTTTGTTCCATGTGCATGAAGTCACTGTGTTGTTGGCGGCCAACCCTGTGGCAGCTGACAACCACCACAACAGAGACTACTCAGTAGCCCATGGGTGACAGCCAGGGTGGCCTGACTGAAGGTGTTCTTGTCTCAACCACAGCACCACTTCTGGCCACAGTGAGGGCCGGGTCAGCAACTCTTTGTCTGGCAGCAATTCTCCCACCATTTATCTTCTGATTGGCAGGAAGGGCCTCACCTTCCAAATGGCAGGAAATCTAAAAGTTGTCTGACTAACCCACTTCTCTGGCTGAGAGAGTTACTGAGAGAGAACTCAAGCAGGCAACAGTTCAGCAAATCCCAAAAAACCAAACCCACTGCAATTGAGTCAATTTCAACTCGTAGCAACCCTACAGGACAGAGTAGAACTGCCCCACAGGGCTTTCGAGGCTGGAAATCTTTACAGAAGCAGACTGACTCATCTTTCTCCTGTGGAGTGGTTGGTGGGTTCAAACTACCGACCTTTTGGTTAGCAGCCAAATACTTTAACCACTGGGCCACTGGAGCTCTCTTTAGCAACTGCAGGGGGAGATTATCTCAGAAAGACTCCAGCCTTTGAGCAACCATGGGACACAGATATCCAGGCTGTAGGGCAAATGCAGAAGTCTAAACTTCACTAAGGATCAGTTACATGGGGAACTAGATTAATAATACTGTTCAGCAATTTTTAATGTACTGGTGTCTTTTCTTACAATAACAAAGTTACTTTTTTAGTTTCCAAAAATTCCAAGGAGGCCCCAGAAGATTTACTTATGTTTTCCAAAGTGATTCATTTTTGAGATACTGCCAGCATGAAGAATTTTGACTCCAAAGGAAATAAAATTTAGGACTAAGTGGAAACCAGAACTTTGAAAAGGAATTAGGTTGCAACCTGGAATATAATTCCATCCTCGTGGATCAGTGCATGGGCACAGAAAGAAATCATATTAGTTTAAGAAGCTTCATACCTCTCTTTCCATCTGATCCCCTGAATATTTCAGCAACTCAACAATTTTGGCTATTATTTGTTCTTCATCATCTGTCAGGGGAAAATTCCAGTTATTTCTTTTAAGAAAGGAAAAAAATAATCTTAAGTTTTTCCAGTGGCAACACTAGTGGCCTCATTTGGGACGGAGGAAGAACTGTGCTTTCTAACTCTTAGCCCCTTCAATCTTACCTCATCTCTTCTGATCAGGCACCAACCATTCCAGACACCCTCTCCCACAATCCTCTTCTTTCTTTTCTCCTCTTCCTCTATTCTTTGCTTGGACCCTCAATTCTCACTGTGAAATTCATCTCTGTATTTATACTAAGAATGTTAGACATCAGGTCCACTACACATGAGCCTGTCTATGAAGATAATTAAGAGAAACCTCCCTGAGCAATTGGTGCTTTTTCTCCTCACAGACACCAGAAATCACACATTTGATCACATTCGCCTCTTTGTGTTAGCTGTGAGAGTGTAGAGCCAAATTTGTGGCCCACGTCTAAGAAGGCATATAGTCTTTCTGGATTGTGTTTCAAGAATTAACCTCATTCCTAACCCCATTTTATTTTCCTAGTCTTGTTTTCTTTCTTACATTGTCTCTCAAATTTGATTTTATTTCATCTTACTAAAATTTACATTTCCTTGTCTGCCATGTTTTTAAAACAAAGGTGGGGTACAAATAAACAAAGTTAATAAATTCTCCCAGAAGCCAAAATGGCAGATGGAAAGAAGACAGCTACAGCTGGCATGTGGTGTAGATGTTGGAACAGAAGAGGGGGAATATTATTTTTCTTGTCCCAAAACTTGCTAACAAGTAAACAGGATGAAAATGATCCTTTCTATAGAAAAGAATCCAAACAGAGGAAAGACAGTTACTGAGGAAACAGCATTTCTTTTTTATGGCATAATCTCTGAAATCATAGTGTTTATCCCATAGAAGAGGGGATGAGAGGCTAGTGAATTAATCTAGCAAGTCCCAAGAAGGTCTAAGGGAGGGCAAAGGCAGAGCTAAGGGGGAAGACTGAAACTCAAGTCACTTGAGAGAAGAAAGAACTGGTGTTTCCATAGCTCTGGGGCTACCTTTCTCTGGGAAAGTGGCTCCAACAGCTGCCTCCATTTCTCATGTGCACAGAGAATAAGAGCCTCAGCTTTAGTTTGATTTAGGGGTATTGTTCCCAGACACACGTGATAGCAAAAAGAATGGGAGGTTTTTCCAAAACCAGATTCAGAAAAATCCTCTTCTCCTACAACTCCTCACACTTTTGCTATCTAAGCATCTACGTCAGCTTGTGGTGCCCTCAGGAACTGACCCCAACAGCACAGCAGGGGATAAGCAAGACCACCACCCTGTTTCAGGAGGTGAGAGACACCAGTGCCTTCAGAGAGAAATTTTGCCATGTGCTCTGGGGGTGCTGCAAACCCAGGAGCCATCTTGGCCCCACATCTTGCACCTGAGTTTGAGGATAGAGCCAAGAGTGAGGCTCTGAGCTCTCCAAACCACCACACTGCAGAACATTAGTTAGGGAACAAAACTGAGGCTCTCCTCTGGTCTTTCCCCTTTCAATTCTCCCCTCATAGACCAGAGTTCCCACAAGCCTCATGGGATCCATATTCCTAACTAGTGCTGTAGTTGTAGTGAAAACTAACCCAGTCTGGCCACTACTCCTCAGTCCTACTTCATGTTCTACATCAGACCTGGTGCCTGATAACTCCCTGCTTTTTCATGGGAGCTCAAAGCAATATTATGAATCCCTGGGTTGATGCTCCAGTGACTCAATGCACTCCCAAGAGCAAACTAGACCATGGCCATTGGTAACGTGATCAAATCTAATATTGCATTTCCCCGTGTGGACAAGGCTGAATGCAAGCTTTCTGTTTTTGCCTCTCCCTCAGCAGAAGACTTCCTTCTGGTCTTAGTGAGGTTGGTGTATTGGTTCAACATAAGGATGCAGGCTTCTTGTTTTGCTCGAGCTGACATCTCAGACTGGAGCTCAGTGCCCTTAGCATGCTGCTGTCATGCCCTTAGTCCAGCTCAGCAGAGATGCCCCAGTAGCAGAGCCATAAGCTGAATAAATTCAGAAATACTCATATATCTCTGCCTCATAAATACTCAACCCAATGCAAACATTAAGAAGAGAAGATTACCTTTCTTAGCACTTGCACGCCTAGGCTGGCAGCCTTGGGCCTGGTAGGAGAAACCCTGACGTTGGACCTTCCCTTTGAACAGGGAGCTTGCTCCCTGGGTGTGGCTCTCTTCCGGTGGTGGCCAGGAATGAACAATTTCAGCAACTCGGCTGGAAATGGAAATGACTTTGGGGTTCACAGCTGAAACAAGATAAAAATGGTGCTGAGAGAGACCCTTTCCAGAAGAACTTCCCTGTCTGGCTTATTGGTATGCACAGTTGCTCTCAATGAAAAGACCCGGCCCAGAATGAGAGGAAATTGCCCAAGAGTGGGGGGTGAGGGGCGTCATTCTTCAGTTAGGACTGGCAGTTGCCTGGCAGAGTCTGGGTTGGGGGAGGAGCACACAGAGGAATGATTGTCACCTTGAAACAATTGCCCTTCTGCACCCTCTTTTTGAAGTCTTGCAAAATTAGGGTCCCCTTTCCCCTTTGCAAGGGAAGAAAGACAAAAGGGAGTGCTTAGTTCTTTGGTTGAAGGAATGCTCATTATGCTTTTATTTTTATTCTTCTTTTTGAACATCTTTTATACCTCAGCGAGCTGGCCCCTGTGTGCACAGGAGGGCATTCAAAAATTTGACAAGCCTTTGGGAGTTGGTCAGTGAAGAAAGAGAAATATCCCTGCTCTCAGTTCATATTCCTTACCCAAGTTCCCTATTAAGTAAACACCTAACTCCCTTTGCTCATAAACTCATAGAGAGCTAATACTTCCTGGGTAAACAAAGATGCATAAGTGTAACTAATCTACTGCCTTCAAGAATTTATAATCCAGGAAAAGAGTTAGGTCATGTATTTGCCCACACATCATTACAAAACAAAGCATTAGGGGACATGAGGGTTTAAATGGCATTAGTTTCCTGAATGTTGTAGCCTAAGAAGGCAGGTTAGCTTTGCCTCTGCTTAGGGGACTGGGTGCAGTGGGACAGCATTACTCAGATGGTATTGCTGGGTTGTTTAAAATTATTGTTCAACCAGCAGTTAGGTTATTATTGATTTGTTCTTAACTTTTAGAAAATTTTGCAAGCTCTGCTGTCGATACTGTATAGAGCAGTTGGGTTTCACATAATGTTTAAAGAATGACACTATTTAATTCACAAGACAAAGAAAATAATGGAGTGAAATTTGGGCTAGAGGGTTGGCCCGCTCAGGGGAACTCATGGGCTTTTTAAATCATGATGGATGAGAGAGGCACAATCCAGGTCCTGGGAGGAACGGTATCACATGAAACACAGGCCCTGACGTGCTACTGAGCTGTCAAGGTGGTGTCTGATCCTCTTTCCTTTGGTCTCTTCACAGCATAAGTGTCAGTGTCCTCTCTCCATCCCTCTGGATAGTCACTGAAAGGCCATGGGAGATAATGTTTTCTATAAAATCTTCCTGAAGTGGACTTCCGGCTTAAAAAGCAGTACTCCAAAACAGAGGAGTGAATAAGAAGGAAAAGGAGGACTGTCTTTCCTTCTCATTTTAACAATCAAATCAGATGTACTTTCCACTTTTAAACCACCTTATTTCAGTCCAATCAGCCTCATCTCGAACACTGGCCACCAATGTTGTTGTTGTTGTTGTTATGTGCCATCAAGTCGGACCCGACTCATAGCAACCCCTCCTTGGGTTTCTGAGGCAGTATCACTATGGAAGTAGATTGCCCCATCTCCCTTCCCAGGAGCGGCTGGTGGGTTTGAACCGCCAGGCTTCTGGTTAGCAGTCAAGTGCCTTAGCCACTATAGCCCCTAGCAAAGAAATGGCAAGAAACTGGTTGCCAAAGCCAATGAGAACCTTCCCTTGCAGTGCCTGCAGGAACCAGAAAAGAAGAGCTTACATCTGCTCCCTCTGCTGTCTTAAGCAGCCTGGCTAGGGTGATCAGAGTATGACTCCTCCTCCAGAAGTCACACTGCACCCATCTTACATGCGAAACAGGCAGATAAAGACCCCCAAGGCTGTCATTCCTCAACACCACCACCTCACCATGTGGCAGGGCAACCACAAGACCAGTGGCAGATACAGAAGGACCCAATTTGCTTAACATGTGTGTATAGTTTATTGATCCCTATGAGGTTATGGTCATTGAGCAAGGGACACAGATGAAATAAATAGGTGCTGGGGAAAAAAAAAAAAAACTATAAGAAATCACATTTTGACCCAGATGAATTGCTCTGGTTAAGATTTCTGTCTTGAATATTTTAATTTTTAAAAAGAGAAAATTCCCTTCTTGTCAGCGTTGATGCTATCTGATAGGCAAAGGAAAACTGGTTGGGGACAGAGACAACAGAAAGAATACCCGTCCTCTGAACTCTATCCTGGGGGATTCTCGTTTCCTTACATTATCTGTGCAATAAGGTCCCAGATAATCCCTAACTCCTCCTGTTCTACAAGTCCCTAAATCTAATGGGAAATGGAAGTCTCCTTGATTGTAGTGAATGATCTAAAGTTGTCCATGTATGGTTTGATTCTCCAAGTAAGCCAGAATCAGCACATTTTTAAATTGAAGCATTACTGCCACCTGTTGACTGATTATTGACAAGTTATTCAGGCTGAACAAATGCTACAGAGAGGAGCTTCCTTTTCAAATCTATGCATCCAGGCACTGGGCATTGTTGAGGTGGATGATGTGTCTGCCAAAATCTGTGGGCAGAGGACAAGTCCCAGCCTGTTGTAAAAATGTTTCATTTTCACAAAGTTCAATTTATTTGGGGGTGGTGGTGAAGATTTTGTCAAAATGTTCCTCAGTTGTTTTCTTTTAAATTGGGTTTTAAAAGTATTTTTGCATATATCTCTTTGATCTTCCATCAACCCTAAGGGGTAGGGAGAATGGGAATATTCTAAGTGTTCAGACAGAAATGCAGAGACCCAGAGGTGAGCTGACTTCCCTCTGAAAGACTAGAAGCCTAAACCTGTCTTTTTCTTTACACGGAAGATTAGGAATTGGGGCAGCAAGTTTACACACCGAAAATCAGTCCCTTCACTGCCAACATCTTCCTTTCTGCTCAATCTTGAGAAAAGTAGAGCAACTATTACTGAAAATTAATAAATAGAAAAGCTAAGACACAATGAGTGTCCTGCCTAAGGCCACACACTAGGAAATCAAATACTGTGCACCAAGAAGGGAGACACTTGGATGGGTGATAGAAAGCATTTCCAAAAGCCTACCTTCTGGTTCTATGCGTTGTTCCACATTAGAAAGGGATCTAGACCAATGCTGACTGTGAGAACCACCCTGCCATTCTGTTGGACCCTGAGCAAGGACCTCCGTAGAATCTTCCTCCTTCTCTCCTCCTCCAAATAATGCTCTCCAAGAAGACTTTTTCTTGGCAACACGTTTCTCAGCTGATTGGGAACTTCTGGAAGGCCTTGATGCCTGTGCCCACGAGTCATTTGCTGACCAATTCCCCAAGCCCTTCTGGGACAAACTTCTTGTTCTCAACAGCTTTGGTGAGACGCCAGCAGAGGTGTTCTTGAAGACGTGGTGTTTGGCATAAAAGGCTAGTATTTTGAATTCTATGCTGTTTGAGTCATCATCATCCAGGGGGATTTCTTCCAGGTCACATTCATGGGTGGTGCTCATGGTGGATCTGTAACAATAAAATTCACACCATGTCCTACTTGTAGAAAAGTTGCTTTTTGTAGGTTAGGAGAGCTGGGGGTCAAAACTTCATAAACAATGATTGGGAACCTACTTTGTTTATGCTGGGCAGCAGGAGTTAATCAGACATAGAAGAGCCAAGGTGTTTTCTAAATGTTCATAGTCTGATAGGGTTGGGGAAGAAAGGCACGTGTATAGATAACATCAAAAAGAGTGAGTTAAGAGCTCTAACAGAGATGAAGACAGGTATGGGGACATAGGGGAGGAATGTTGTTGTTGTTATTGTTATGTACCATCGAGTCAGACCCAACTCATAGTGACCCAGACTTAGGATATTCTCTGACTTTTCCTTCTGTTTCTCCTATTTGAAGGAGGTACAAACTAAAAAACCAAACTCACTGCCATCAAATTGATTCTGACTCACAGTGACTCCTGTTGGGTTTCCAAGGCTGTAAATCTTTACGCAAGTAGACTGCCTCATCTTTCTTCCTTGGAGAAGCTGATGGGTTTGAACCACTAACCTTTTGGTTAGCAGCCAAGTGCCTGAACCACTACACCACCAGAGCTCCTTATTTCAAGGAGGTGGAGGGGCTGAAATATATCCTCTGCAGTCCTGTAGATGATTCTTATTTCCTCTCCTTTATTTGGGAGAGGCTCACACTGGCCTAAAGAAACTGTTCTGAGGACCTGCTCCTTGTCCAGGCTCCAAGAAAGCAATGGCCCTGGCTAGGTGTGTTCTGATGGGAGGGAGGAAGGGAGGGGCTGCAGGGAGAGGTTTTTGAAAAGTATTGAGACCTGATACAAGTATGAGTGAGTAAAATCGATCAAGGGTCAAGACTGAGAAAACTGAGACAAACAAGAGAAGGAGCCAGAGGGTAAGGCTACAGTGGGGTTATGTGGTCAGAACTACGTGCACCAGTGAGCGCAGAAGTGAGACCAGAGCTGGAATCTTTCAGGGAAGGATTTATGAAGCTCTTAATTCAAAGCTTCCTTTTAAATTGGGCAGCTCAGAAAAAAGTATAGCCAGAAACACTAATGGGACTACATCCTTGGACAGGAAGGTGACCTCTTCTCTGAATCCATGATAATACACTTCAGAAGAAATTTCCATATGTTTTTTTTTTTTTTTTCCTATCAGGAAACCAGAAGAGAAGTTATTTCATGATAGTTTAAACAAGGGAAATTGAACAAAATCATTTATTAAATCTATCCAGTACTGTATAGAAATAAAGATGAAACCATCCATCCCATAATTTTAGTACTTGTATTGGTCTTTCTAACACACAGAAGGGCTGTGTGGGAGCTCTGGTAGCATAGTGCCTAAGGCACTTGACTGCTAACCAGAAGGCTGGCGGTTCAAACCCACCAGCCACTCCTCGGAAGGAAGGTGGGGCTATCTACTTCCATAGAGGTACCACCTTGGAAACCCAAGGTGGATCCCTATGAGTCAGGATCGACTTGACGGCAGTGAGTTTAGTTTTTTGGTTTATTGTTAGACTTAAGGAGCTCTGGTGGTGTAGTGGTTAAGGCATTTTGGCTGCTAACCAAAAGGTCAGTGGTTCAAACCCCACAGGCTGTTCTACAGAAGAAAGATGAGGCAGTCTGCTTCCAAAAGATTTACAGCCTTGGAAACCCAATGGAGATCCCTATGAGTTGGAATCGACTAGATGGCAGTGAGTGTGTTTGTACTGTTAAACTTATAGGTAAATCTTACTTTAAAGCAGTAGTGAGTTGGTTTATCACATGTTAGAGATCCTTTCTGCTCTCAGCTATTCTTGTTGAAAGTAAAAGCCCAACTTCTGAGTCTATAGAAGCTCGAATGGCTCCTTGAGGGAGCAGCAGAGGCTGAGTAGCAGGGCGGGAGACCTGGGTTTGACTCTCAGTCAATGTACTTCCTGCACAGTCACCCTCATCTGCCATAGTGGGGGCTATGTGTGGCTATGATGCTAACAGGTATCAGTGGAGCTTCCAGACTCAGACTCGAAAGAAAGGCCTGGCAATCTGCTTCAGAAAATCCACCAATGAAAGCCCTATGGATTGGTCACAAAGGTATGATCCACAACCAGTGCTTCACTTTGTTGTGCACGGGTCACCATGAGTCAGGGCAACTTTAAGGCAGCGAACAGCAAAAGGGGCCACCCTGGGTGTGGCCCCCTGAGTGCTGGTCCAGAGCCTGGAAGAGAGAATTCAGTTCTCCCAGGACAGACCTGTGAGGCTTATTCTAATTCAATGACTCAGTTGACACGAGGTTATTTTTACCACCCAGTTGTTTACATACTTTCTCCTTATCTGTAACCAAAAAAGTAAAGTTGAAGAACCTTCTGATGAAGTTCAGACTACAGCCTTCAGTTTAGATTACACTTCAACATAACTGGAAGTCCCCACAATCGGACAAATAAGCCACATGACAATAAATGGAGAAAATATTGAAGTTGTCAAGGGTTTCATTCTACTTGGATCCACAATCAAAACCCACAGAAGAAGTAATCAAGAAGTCAGATGATGTATTGCATGGGCAAATATGCTGCAAAAGACCTCGTTAGAGCGTTAAAGAGCAAAGATTCCACTTTGAAGACTAAGGTGCACCTGACCCAAGCCATGGTATTTTCAATCACTTCCTATGCATGTGAAAGCTGGACAGTGTATAAGGAAGACCAAAGAAGAATTGATGCATTTGAATTGTGGTTTTGTTAAAGAATATTGAAAATACTACAGACCGCCAGAAGAACGAACAAATCTGTCTTGGAAGAAGCACATCCAGAATCCTCCTTAGAAGGAAGAATGGCCAGACTTGTGTCCTGCACTTTGGTCATGTTGTCAGAAGGGACCAGTCCCTGGACAGGATATCATATTTGGTAAAGTAGAGGGTCAGTGAAAAAGAGAAAGACCCTCAACGAGATGGACTGACACAGTGGCTGCAATGGTGGGCTCAAGCATGGCAACAATGATGAGGCTGGCATGTGGCCAGGCAATGCTTCGTTCTGTTGTACACAGTGCTGCTGGGAGTTGGCGCCAACTCAACGGCACTTAGCAACATAACAAGCTATTGCCAACCTATGCTCTCAAAACTAAGATGGCCAGACTTCTTTCTTTTATTTGCCTCTTTTCCTTCCCCGCCCCACCACCAGTACCAAGTGCTCCTCCTTCCTCTCCCACCACAAATGGCCTCCAGGTTCCTGCCCAACCTGGCCTTTGGGAGCGTGGCAGAGAGCACGACCGAGGGAGATGCGTGCTCAGCTGCGAGGGGCTCACCTGCAGGGAGCACCTAAATTCCCGTTGTCACCAAACATACATTTGGGACTTCTCAAGCTTTGCAGATTCATTTCTTGGGGTTAGATTTCATTTCCTCTTCTCTGACATACAGAGGAAACAACAGCAGTGCGTACTTCACAAAATTCGACACAGGAGGCTGCCCAAAGAACACCTGAAGTCACACGTACACTGGGGCATCCCTGGGTGGCACAAACAGTTAAGCAATTGGTGGCTGACTAACAGGCTGGCCTTTGAGTTCATCCAGAGGTGCCTCAGAAGGCCTGACAATCTACTTCCAAAAAGTCAGCCACTGAAAATTCCCTGGAGTACAGCTCTATTCTGATACACGTGGGCCGCCATGAATCAGGATCGACAATGCAATAGCAATTGATTTTACTGGTAGGCTTAGACTTGGGTCACTTTGCCCAGCATGTCCTAGGTGTCCGGGTCTCAGCATGGCGAGCCCACTGGCAACAGGTGTAACTAAACCAACAGCTTACTCCTATTTGCTCTTGAGACATAGATGTGGCCTGAGTGTTACTCAAGAGTGTAGACTCTCACCCCCAAGAAGTTTCCTAGACCAAAATATAAGCAAAACTTGGTCTGGTTACCTCAAGCCCTATGCCCTTCAGAGTCAGTCCCTTCTTCTAACGATAGATCCTTCAACGTCTTCCTTCCTTCTCCCCTGGCTCTTACCTCCAAGTAGCATATGCTGTTTAATCCTGTTAAAAGAGAGAAACCGAGGAACAGGAATGGACAGACTCCTCCCACCGTATTGGGCACATTCACAGAGGTCACTGTCCGATTGAAAATGCATCCAAAAACAGATGAAAGAATATAATGTGGAGACAGGTAATCATAAAATCACAAACCCCCTCTGGGATAAGACAATTGTGATAGCTGCGAAGCGGATTAAAGTTTATTTCTACAAAGAAGTTAACTTCAGGCAATTTCAAATGAATGGGGGCCACAGAAATCTTGTAACCAGATCTCAGCTGACCTCCAAGAGTCCCTGTAACTAGCCTGCATTGAGCCATTTGGTTTTTAGAAACAAAACGGTCTCCCTGTATGCATATAGAATAAATTTTCATTTTTAAAAAAATTTTTTAAAAGTTTATCTGAGGACCTGCTTTTTTTTTCTTTTTAAACAATACTAAGGGTGAACCAAGGTCTTAATTTCACAAATGATGCACACATTATGCAGGTTCCACGTGGCTGCACCCTTGTTTCCTATGCACAGTATGTATGCTATATGCACACACATTATTTACACAAATATAGTAGTCATGGTCAAACCAGTTGCTGCTGAGTCAATTCTGACTCCTGGTGACCCATGTGTGTTATAGTAGAATAGTGCTCCATAGGGTTTTCAATAGCTACTTTTTCAGAAGTAGATAGCCAGGCCTTTCTGCTGAGGTGCCTTTTGATGAACTCAAACTTCTAACCTTTGGTTAGCAGCCTAATCATTTGCACCACTAAGGACTCCTTAGGTCATATTAAACAGAAAGACTAAGGCTTTAATTATAGTACAGAGGAAGCAGGCAACTAATTCTTGGGGTGGTGGTGGATTTCTATAGAAGAGAAGGGTTTTCCCACGTTACCTGAGTCTTGTACTCAAGGAAGACTACAGGGCTTGCCAGGACTAGACTTTTTGAGGCTGAGAGCCAGAGTTCTCATAAGCACAGGTTGGGGTTGTAGGTTAAACCCAGGAACTTCCTTCTGTCCCTCCT